ATTTTAGGATTTTCTACACGGCCGCGCGCTGGAAAGCACACACACCCCTAACCTTGAGCCCTTGAGCCCACGCAGAGAAAGTGAGAGAATGAGAGAAAGACAGATTGACAGAGAGAGAGAGAGAGAGAGAGAGAGAGAGGAGCGAGCGAGCGAGAGAGAGAGGAGAGAAAAGAGAAATATTTTGGGAGGGCGGCGCGTTATCGAAGCCTGATCGGTAATGCGTACTGCGTAGGGCTGGCCCTCGGTCGGCGCGGCCAGGCCCATTATCGCACCATGTCCTATCACGGGCCGCGCCGCACGGCCAGAATGATTACGCAAGAGTGTAAACCCTCCGAAAACGCCGTCGCGGCCCTGCGGAGACCTGACGACCCGGCGAAGTCCATGACGATGATGATGTCGACTGTGTTTTACCTGGCCGGGCCGCCCCGGGAAAACCAACGTCCGGTTTCCCAGGCGCAACCCTGGAAAAATGCCCTGTTTTTCCAGGGTGCGCCTGGGAACCACGACGTTGGTTTTGCCGTGCGCCCGTCCGTTGACCCTGGTCTCTGGACGACATGAAGTGCGGGTGAAGGCGGCTTCCCTCTGAGGCGCCCAAAGAGTGGTTTAATGGGGGGCGGAGCACCGAGCACGCCGACGGCACGCCGAGCACCGAGCGGCATCGCCCCGACTGCAGGCCGAGGCCGCCAGGCAGGCAGGCAGGCAGGCAGTCACCCACCGGCTATCGTTTGATAGCTTCCAGGAAGGTTTCCACCGTTTCCACGCCCGGCGGGTATGCAAAAGTGTAGCACCGCCATCTTCGGCTCTTCGGGTGCCGCCGGGTGCGCTCGTATGTCAACGAACCCGGCCCTGCCTGCCCCGGCCTGCCCCGGCCTGCCCCGGCCCGCACTCCGCCAGCGTGGCTTCGCCTGGCTCAGCCGCCGGGTGGTCACGCCGTCGGCCGCCGGTCACTCAGGCACCCTGACGGCCGGAATGCATCGCTTGACCGTGGGCCGTGGGGCTGAGGGGCCCGGGGGCTGCAATCGCCAATTATTGGCGGACTCAGCTTCCCCGAACACGCGCGGCCCGCGGATTCGGGTCCAGATTCGGGTCCCAGATTCAGGTCCAGATTGGGAAGAAACGACGGCGATTAAGTCGCGCCCTCCGCCCCGCAATAAGTCCCAGTTCCCAGACCGGGGAGCAGCCAAGCAGAGCAATGAGGAGGACACGGCGTTCTCAGAACATGACTGACTTCAAATTCGAATTCTGGTTTTTAGTCGAGCATTTATGAATCACAGCATTGCGAAGATTCAGCCCTCTTCACTTGAGATAAATCAAAACGTTGCGACCGCGCTTCGGCTGAGACTGCCGCGCGCTCGCCTTTCCCATCTTTTCCATGTTCGTTTTCGTTTCCCAGGCCTTGCCTCATCCTGCGCGCTTTCCGGAAAGCAATTACCCAGCCGTCGCCGCTGAAATTGCGCCCCTCGCTGCAGGGCTGCACTCCCCCCCCCCTTTGCGCCCCTCTTGCACATGCAGCCCGCGGGGCTTATCTGCGCCCTTATCATGTCCAGCACTTTAGGCCCCTTGTTCTCACTTGACCTCGTTCCGGGCCCAGGCAGGCCCAGGTGCCGCCTGTCACCCGCCTCTCTCCCTCTCCCTCTCCGCTCGTCCTCCGCCCCTGGAACCTGGGAGGTGAACTTTGTCCTGGCTGATGCTTTGGTGTACACGGTGACGTGTGTGTGGCGCTCGGCAAGCGCACACAAGCAGCCGCACCACGCATTCACACCTTGTTCCGAACCCCAACCCTTTGGGACCGCACACAAGGGGGGCCCAAGCCTATACTCTGACCAGAAAACGAAGAGCCCTGGGTTCTCGCGGTCGAGGGCTACCTGCAATGCTAGCCAAGGCAGCAGATGCCATAAACCGCGCGAACTCAGGGCTCTTCGTTTTCTGGTCAGAGTATAGGCGAGCTCTCAGTGAAGAATGAGGTCTTCTCTCTGTACATTTTCACCTATTAGAGAGCGGGCCTTGCCGCAGGCGCGGATCCAGGGGGGGGGCGGGGGGGGCGTCGCGCCTCCCGGAAGGCGGCGAAGCCGCCTGAAAGGTAGGCAACAAGTCGCACTTAGCCCCTGTAGGTAGGCAACTTTTGCGACATCGCCCCCCCGAACCCGTCTCTGGATCCGCCCTTGCCTTGCCGCGGGGCCGTTTGGACGTGGGGACCACATGCGTTGCTCGGAGCTCGGAGCTGCCTCCCGCTGCCTCGACGCCACGGCGCCCACGTGACCGACTGACCCTCTGAGCCCCCTGGGCGGCGCGGGCGGTGACCAGGGACGGAAATTCCACGGCGAGAGGGAAAGCATTTCGGTAATATCGCACGGAGCATCCCCGGGAGCATCCCCCGCCGTATCCGTGGACCCACATACACGCTCAATATAAATTTCGGACGACAGGCTTGGCGACAGGGACAGCGCGCCGAACTGGCCTCTGGCTTCCCTAAAAAAGGAGCGGCAGCCAGGGTCTTCTTCTTTGGCATTTTTTAAACACTGTCGGCGGTTTCAGAGCTCGAGTCGTTGTGAATTGTGATTGGCGATTTTTCGCGTGAAGAGCGTGCTTGGCGTCCTGGCGCAGGATTAATGCCAAGAATTGCACGTCAACAAACATCTGCCGGCCTGCAGCACGCCCTGCTTGCAGGCGAGAGAGCGCTGACGCGAGCAAACGGCAGCTAGGAGGTGCAAGCGGCTGTGTAGGTGGCCCCGCGGGAGTAGGGAATCATGGCCCAGGACCACGCCGCCGCGGCCCAGAGCTGGATCTAGGTCTCTACGGCCCTGCCGGTGGCGGCGGTGCGTTCTCGACGTTCCCGACGTTCTCGGAAGCAGAAACCCGCCGACTCAGCGCGTTGCCTCGCCTGGCGCAATGAAGGGCAACACGGCGTTCCGCGGCCCGAAGAGGTCCGAGACTCCCGAGGTGGCGACCCACGGCGTGATCCTTGCTCCCTCGCCGCGCCGCCAAATAGATGGTGATCTCACGACCAGCCTAACATGAACATGGTTGACCGCCTCGCCTCCGCGGAGCTCCGCGATGGCGTAATCACCCCACTCACCCGGCGTCACCCCGCGCGCGCCGCCCCGCCGAGGTTCGCGGTTCGGAACCCCAACACTCCCGGCTTGGCGCGGTTTGGCGCCACCGGGTTGTCTCTAGAGCCGAGATAGCGGCGGACAGCAGCGGCTCTCTCCGGTGTAGGTGACCCCCCTGGCCGCCGTCCGCGCCGTCCGCCGCCACGGTCTCGGTGCGTGCCCGCCCGCGGGCCAAGGGGCAAGGCTCGCGGCGCGTCCCCCCAAGTAGTGTTTGCGCGTCGGCGGCACGGAAACCGCGGGAAAACGTAACGGGAAGAGCCATGCAGGCAATGCCGATCTGCGCAGTCCGAGTTCCTTCCGCGAACGCGCAACGCCGCGGCGGCAGGAAGCCACCGGCGTGATGGCGCGATTTCGCGCGATAAGGGAGGGAGGCTGACGCACAGGGCACGCCGAGCACGCCGAGCACGGCGCCACGCTCAGGGGTGGGCGGCCACCGCCAAGTCATCGCCCACTCATCGGCCAATTTGGATCAGATTAGGGCTTTTCATTCATTTTGTCGCGACTGTACGCCGCGCTACGCGTCTCGGGCGTTTCCTGTTTCGTTTGGAAAACCAAACAATGTAGGTTGGTGCCGCAGTTTCCATGGAAGGGTGCGCGATGAGAGGGGCGTCTCAGGCAGACTGCTGCGCTGCCCTGCACGGCATGCTGATTCCGAACAAGGCTCTGCGTGCGGGAAGTGTGAGAGAGGCCGGCGACGGCACTGTTCTTCGGAATGGCCTGGGCCCTACCGGCCCTACCTGGCGGACGGACGCTGAACGCGATGATTCAACGAGCTGCGAGAAGTGCGTCAGTGCAAAAAAAGGCAAAACGCAAAAGGCCGCCGATTGGCAAAAGAGGCATGTAACCCTTCCAGAAAACGACGAACGAAGAAGGGAGATGGGATTGGCGCTCGCGGTGCGGCCGGTGTCGGTTGGCGGCGGCGCATGCCATTGTGCTGCACCGGAGATGGCTTGCATTCCCGGCGGCGGGGGCGGCGAGGGGCAGGCGGCCCGCCAAAGACGCGCCACTTGGAAGGGCGAAAGGCGAAACCGCGAAGAGCAGACAGCCGACAGGCCGACAGGCCGCAACTTGTAGGGACATTATTCCGGCCGCCACCCCTGAGCCCTAAGCCCATGCCTCTGCCCTTTGGGCCCTGTGGGCTGCAGGCCCTTGGCTTCCCAGAACGGCCGCCTGCGCGTCCAGACCTGCCGCTGCAGCGCGGCGGCGGGGCCGGCGGGCGGGGCGGGACCGAAGGCCTACACACGGCGCGCCGGACCCGCATCGCAGTGCGCAAAAAACCGCCAATTATCCGCAGCCTCGGCCGCCGGGGAGCTGCAGCGCAATTACGCAATAAAGAAAACGCGCCGCGGCGAAGCGCCCGAGAGGTAAACCACACGCACGACACGCCGGTCATTCCCCCGCAAAAAGTGATGCCAACGGCATGCGGTGTTCCCAAGCGGTCACCCATCTAAGTACTGACCGCACCCAACGCTGCTTAACTTCGGTGTGCGGAAGGGAACCGGTGGACCCAGCGTGGTATGGTCGTTGGCGGGGTAGGGGCAACGCGCGGCGCTCTTAAGGCGCGCAACGCGCGGTCGGTGACGAATAGGTTGCCTACCTCCACGGCGTTCAAGGAGCGCCACTAGGTCCCCGGCAAAAAATTATGCCAACGGCATGCGGTGTTCCCAAGCGGTCACCCATCTAAGTACTGACCGCACCCAACGCTGCTTAACTTCGGTGTGCGGAAGGAACCGGTGGACCCAGCGTGGTATGGTCGTTGGCGAAGAGAGGAGCGACACCCAGCGTACCATAGCCCCGCCACGCTATCGGTGCCCGCTGAGTTGGCATAAGGCAGCATGGAGGTTTTGGTTTGCTATGCAGTTGCTTTGATTGGTCAAGAGGATGACTAAATGAAGTTCTCATGCCATTTTATTGTTCTGTAAACCAATTGTGATGCTCACAAAGAATTATTTCGTTTCTATATGAGATACATAATCACTTCAATGAGAGAAAATTTACATTAACTTTAACTGTTTGCTTCCAGAGCAGCTTCCAAACACTTTAGCTTGAGAGTGGGAGGTAACAAATATGATGTGATACATAACAGGATAGGATTTCTTACAATTTTGCTCTATAGCTTTGCTCAAAAATCTATAATAAGGAAATACAAAAGTTTTGAAGGTATATTTATTTTAACATTCAATTTTTATCTTAACATTACAACAATGTAACAAGTGCACTCCAGCGATATGGAGAACATTTTGAATGGCCAAGGCAAAAATACTACTAGTATATACAAGTAATTAACAATATTACAAATGCATTTTGCATTGAGGTAAGACTACCAAAGGCGGCTTGCAGTCAGCCGACGTGGAAAATCACAATATGCATGACGAGCTTAGTATTTATAAGTAAAGAGACTCACCCATGCTCGTTTCACAACTCTTTGGTCCTTCCTTCCTTTAGGGGGAAGCATGCATTTTCTCAGAAATACTTAAGCTAGGAGGAATGATCAGCTCTCCACTAGAAAATATTGACCACGACTACAGGGTAGTAACATCTGAGTGCAAAAGGACCGAGTGAAGAATACTTGGCATTTAATATATCGGTTAAGTTGGAATAGGAGTGGATAGCCTTAGAGAAGAGCAGGGCCTTTTCACAACATTAAGTTTGAATTTCAATTCCATCTTTTTTTTGAAACCATCTCCTTGCAAATTCGTTCTTTGCAGGTTTTGTATAGATTGAGGCAACTCCTAGCAGTTACAAAGTTGCTACTTTTTTGCAACGTAATACAAAATGCTAGACATGTTCGTTCCGTTCCCTCTGCAAAATTTACAAATCACAAACCTAGTTTATTGACTCAAAGATAAATGAAGAATTATATTACATATAAAGTAAAATAAGTTTTATAGAACATGCTTATAACTATTAAAATGAGAGTTGGCAAAAGCAACTTGTTAGTGAACAAGTCAAAAGCTGAAGCACTATTGACCAATCTACATCAAATAGCACAGAGCTGGTAGGTTCACCCTGAATTAAGAGAGGTTTGGAACAAGGACACAAAGCAATTGTGGTAGATCTTTGGTTTCAAGATGTCAATTTGTATTATATTTTTATGTACAGCAACTAGGAAAATAGGTGCACACTTTTTGATGTGTGGAACTAAATACAATGTGCAAGTACAAAGAGTGTGAACTATCGCATTCTTTTTCTATAAAAAGAAACAGAAAATTTAAACTAAACAAATACTTTTCTCACTAACCAAAGTCTTGAATGGCATTATTTGAAACACAAAATTCATCACTCAACACAACTCTCAGCTTGTTAGACAAAGAAAAGATTAATAAATTAGAGGATAAGGGACAAGGCACATATTGCTGACAAACTGCTGTTGTTCCTCAAGCAACAGTAAAAGAAATTGTTTTGAAAAAGAGTAAATGCTGCATATGATTTATGTGTTAACCCTTTTCTACTTTACTGCAGAGGTTTATTTTGGCTTCACGGTATAACAGAACCTACGGGTCAAAAACCAAAAGTGGGCAAAACCTTCATTTCTCTCGAATCAAACCGTTTGAAACATTGTAGATTTTCTGAACATTGTCCTATGTCCAAATATTTTAAGTAGTGAAACTTCCCAATTTTTCACACGTAGCAAACCACCATATGGCAGTTGACGCTTGCCTTTGGTCCCAACTGCAACAATCTTTCAAACGCCGTGAAAAACACTTTGACGACACAAGAAAGGAATATTTCTACAAAATAAAGAAGACAAACAATGAAAGACATATGAGCTACAAGAGATATTTCCTACATTTAATATTCATAAAAGTGAAACAAGGAAAAACAGCTCTATCACAATTCGATACGAAGGTATTACAAGACCAAGACACACTTGAATCTTTAATAAAAAATAATATAACACCTTAAGACCTTGCAACCTGAAGGTTAGCATAAGACAGACCAAAAGTGTGCCATACATTAAAAATAATTGTCAGAACTAATCCATGAACTATTAGAACTAAACTTAAGAGACAAAAGGCAAAAAGGGCTGATCACGTCTATCCTACAATGCTTACAAAGTAGAATGAGGAAACCAAAAATAAAAAATTATGTGTATACTAGAATAGATAAACCGATTCTAATTTAGCAAGTCAGGCCACGCTGATCGAACATTTCTTTCTTTGGCGGTTTACTGCGCGTTTGGAGAGCTGAGCCTAGAGACGGGAGAGCTGAGCCAAGTCCGGGGCCCGGGCACTGCAGAGACGGCGCGCGTCGAGGCACGGGGTATCGGCGGCGCGGCGCGCGGGGTCTCGGCGCAGCGGCGCTGGGAGGGAAGGGCAGCGCGGGGTATCGACACTCGCCTCTCGACGGTGACGACACGCAAGCGGCGCCTGGCAGCGCGGGTTCAGCCCTGGTCCGCCTCCAGCCTGCTCCAGCCTCCCTGTCTCACAGCACCGTGTCCAGCGTCTCCAGCGACTGCAGGATCTGCTCGTCTCGCGAGCACCACTCGACCAGCTCGTCGATGGTCACCACGCCGTCCTGGTTGGTGTCGATGAGCTGCAATGCAAGCCAACAACGTCAGCGAATCCAGTGTACCAGAGGCGGATGCCCCGCCCACGTTAAGCAGTTGTCGCTCTTACGTGGAATATCCTCTCCACGTGGTCCTTGGCGGTGTTCTCCACCACCATGGGCGTGGTGTTGCGGCCCAGCATGTCGTAGATAGACGACACCACCTCCAGCATCTCGGTCTTGGTCACCAGCCCGTCGCCGTTCTGGTCGTACAGTCCGAAGATCCACTGCAGCTTCTCCTGCACCGAGCCCCGGGACACCTTGGATAGGATGCCCAGGAAGTCCTGTGGAAGCAACCAAAAGAGCATGTATTTCCAGTTCACAACTTTCGAAGCATGGCTTTATATTTCTTTAGCGCCTTCTGTGTTATGTACCAACAAAGATATGATTTAAAAGAAATCTGGGCCAACTCACCTCGAAGCTGATTTTCCCCGTGTGGTTGTGTTTGATGGTGTTAAAAACGTAGTGGGCATACTGACTAGCATCTGCAACAAAAACAACATTTATTTCTTTTTAAAGAGCTTATTGACGGGCGTGACACAAAGACAACCGCCAACACGGCGGAGTGCCATGATTACATCCCTCGGCCCGGCCCGGCCCTTGATAGCCCCATGATCCACCACTGAGGCGGAAATTAAAGTTGGGAATAAAAGACGAGAAAAGACGAGAACCGAGAGGATTTTCTCAAGTAATTAATGGATGACGCCAAAGCAGGGGCCCGGCCCGGCCGGCCCAGCCGTCCCTCCACTCCCTTCACTAATGCCGCGTTCGCGTTCCGGGGCCTCCAGCTCCAGGCCTCCAGGCCCTCGACCACCGTGTCAGCACAAACCTCGCTGCTCCCCTTCGTCAACACTTCGTTATGGCTCCCTTCCCTACCTCCCTTTTAACGCCTGCCAGCAGTGCCAGAGCGGCTCGCAGAGCGGGCCTCGGCGTCGGGCCGACTGGGGCCGCGATGGGCCGGGCAGTGGGGCGGGGGGCTGGTGGGCAAGTCAAGCCACCCGCGCCGCGAGGACTCCAGTCGCGGCCGGCCCATCTTCCAGGCCCGCCCGCCCACCTCTTGAACACCGCGCCCCACGGGCTAGCCTGACTAGGGCAAGGGAGATTCCTCGGTGAGGGCACCCCGATTTCAACGAAAATTTGTTTTGGGACCTCGAGTACCAGTAAGCATAAACAACAGGTGAACCCATATTAGCTCCTTATGTGACCGTTTATGAACCTGAAAAATCAAAAAGTGGGCAAAATAACAAGACGCCGTGGTGCGCCCTCCGCACCCGCACCCCGAGACCAGACTCCCAGACCGGCGACGCGGCAAAAATCAAATCCCTCGGCACAGCAGCTCCTCTCCTCCATGCCCCCCTTGTTAGACGCGGCCGGGCGGGCTGCGTAATAAATTCACAAAGTAGTCGCTGAATCCGGGGCCCGGCCGGTCCGGGGCTGAAGCAGGCTGGAGGAGCCAAGGCGAGGTCCGCCCGTCCGTCCGCCCCCCGCGCACGCGACCGCCTGCCCCCGCCCCGCCCCACTCTTCAGCCGCCTCCGTTCTTCATCGTGCCAGGCCGAGGCGCTCTTCAGCTCTTCATCGCCGCGCTGCCTGGCCGCCGCCGCACCGCCGCCTCATTCTGGCTGGAACACTTTGAGCCCCCGCCAGCAATAATTTAGTCGCCGCCGACTTTCGACTTTGGACGGGCACCCGCCCCGCGCGGGGCGCGGACCTCCATGGCGGCAGTGGCCTGGCTGGCCTAGGGAGTGCGACGGAGGGCGACGAAGGGTGCTCGGCGATATGCAGTGACACTCTGACACGCGCCGTGCTCCTGTCACAACGCTGGGACGGCCGGGACGGCCGGGGTCTCCCACACTGCCTTACGAGCCTCGCCCACTCACCCTGCCGAAGCAATCCGTTGAGCCGAATGACAGGGACAAGGGCCGGGCCGGGCTGGGCCGACGCGACGGCACGCCGACGGCGAGACAAGGACGCTGCCGCTTTGACACCGTGCGCGCCGCGCCGTGCTCGGAGTCTCGGAACACCCAGCCAGAGGCAGCCCTCGCCTGCTCGCCTGCTTTTCTCTTCCACTGCAGCCATCCAATTTTCCCCGACAGAATAGGATATGATATAACCAGCCACGTCCCGACCGTCGCTAGCCTCGCCGCAGGCCACTAGCGTCCCGCACGCCGCCCTGGCCGCCCGGCTGGCTGCCTGCCCGTCTGCCCCGCCGGCGACGCGCGCGTCACGTCCCGCGTCCTCCCACGCGGCCGCCGGCTCCAGTGTTCACGGTGTCCCACACTGTGCCCCACACGGCACCAAATTGCGCGGCGGGATTATCGTTTCGGGCGGGACAGCTTTGGGAACACGTAGCGAGCGCTGCTTGCTTTGCGCGCGGCGCGCGCGTGCGGTGCGGCCCGTGAAGAAGGGCGACGGGCTGCCAGCCTGCCTGCCTGCCTGCCTGCCTGCCTCCTGCCTGCCTGCCTGCCTGCCTGCCTGCCTGCCAGCCTGCCTGCCTGCCTGCCATGCCTGCCTGCCTGCCATGCCTGCCTGCCTGCCTGCCTGCCTGCCTGCCTGCCTGCCTGCCTGCCTGCCAGCCTGCCTGCCTGCCTGCCTGCCTGCCTGCCTGCCTGCCTGCCTGCCTGCCTGCCTGCCTGCCTGCCTGCCTGCCTGCCAGCCTGCCTGCCTGCCTGCCTGCCTGCCTGCCTGCCTGCCTGCCTGCCTGCCTGCCTGCCTGCCTGCCTGCCTGCCTGCCTGTCTGCCTGGCGGCGGGGTTGAGGGAGGCTAGGGAAGCTAGGGAGGCTCAGCACCATATGACGAATGCTGCCCCGCGCGTCCCGATGCATGCCGTGGTGTGGGACTCCGGCACGGTAATGAGGACCCTAGCGCCTCAAGTGCTTATGCCACTGAATCCTTTGTGCGACGCGGCCCGGCAGCCCGACTGGCAGGCAGCCCGCCCGGCCTGATGAAGGGACGTCATCAATTTCGCATGCGGATCCGAGAGGTGTTCAAACCATCACCGGCTGGGCCGTCTCCCCCTCCCCCTCCCCTTTCCGCAAACCAACTCAACCCAACTCCCGCGCGCGCCCCGTGCCGTCCTCTCTTCCGCGCCGAACTTCTAACGAGCGCGCTTTGAGCCACGGCCCTGCACTGTGCACATGGCGCGGGGCGCGCGGCAGCCTCGGCGTGTCGTCTGCAAGGTAAACATACCCCTGGAGTAGGAGCAGCAGCAGCAGTGAGAAGGGCGGGGCGGGGCGGCCTCCATTCCGCGGTCCATTTCGTCCCCGGGGAACTATGCTGCGCTGCGCTGCCGCGGTTCAATGGCGGCGCACTGTTGCGTGCCTGGCCGTGCCTGGCCGTGCTAGCGGGGGCGGCGGGGGCCTCACCGCGAAGCACTGCGAAGCACCGCTCCGCGCGGCAATGCGGCGCCCTCAGTCACGGCGGCGACCATTAGGGAGAGGCAGGTGACCAGGGCGCCAGGGCGGCCAGGACCGCGCCGACGGCGGCGGCGAGGGTGATGGGGGTCATTACGGGGTGGAGGAGCATCGCAAGCAGCCTGGAAATGGACGCGCCGCGCGCCGTCACGTCTTCGCGGGCCGTCAGGCCGTCAGGCCGTCGTCTCCAGGCACCGGACTGCCCCTCCCTTTCAGGGCGCGCGGCAGTCCACGCCCATAAACTCGACGCCACTCGAGATTTCCGCCGCGCCATGCTCGCTCGCGGATTCCCGTGATTCATGGCGGCGGAGTCACCTTTTAAGAGTTGCCCCTCGCGCATGCATAGCGCCGCTTTTAACGCTCCGGTCGTTAGGATCGCTGCGCGATGCTGCGGCGGGCCGCCGCCGTGGAGCTATGCCGTCCCGCCGCCCCGGCTGCATCCGCGCTGCCTACCCGCCGGGCGCTTCCCAGCGACCGAACGGAGGAGTCTGCTGCCAGCCCCAAGCCCCAGCCCGCACCGCGAGGCGGAATCCAACATCCGACGCGGTTACGCGGCCCTGAGTGCGGCGGGGGCGCGCCGTGCCAGACGGAGCAGCGACTTGTCCCTTTCCCTGACGCACCTCCACGACAGCCGCGCGCCGCCAGCACCGCCAGCACACACTCCGAAAGACAAGCAGAAGCACAACAAGCAGAAAGGGGTTTGGCGCCGAGGCGGGGCGGCGGGATTGGCCGGGGAAGGGTGGGGGAAGTGGGGGGCAAAGCGGCTTAAAATTGCGGCGCACCACGTGATCCCGCCTCGGGTGGCGCCCAGCAAGCAGGCGAAGCAGGCGGAGCAAGTGGCCGGCAGATAGGGCGTCCGCGGCGCCGCCTTCGCCCTTCGGCCACCGGCCCTTCGGCGCGCACCGCGGATTTGGAGGGCCGCCGCCTGCCGAAGGGCGAAGGGCGGGCGGGGCTCCAAGGCGTGCGAGGAGGGGCAGCGCAAACACAAACAGCCTCCGGCCGGTATAGAGGGTGCGGGGCGAGCAGGGTGTAGGGTATCTTGCGGACACAGGCCGGCGCGGGACGACGAACCGATGTACTAACGGACGAAAACCAACACGAACAAGGCGTACCAGCGGGATCGGGTCCCTGTCGAACCGCGCCGAACCTCCCTCCCCCTCCTCTTTTCTGATAAACCAAAACATCCACGATAGGCTTCATCGATCCAAACAAACAAAGAACACGAAATACGCAACGAATTCCTTACCTCCTTGCGGAAAAAACTGCGAGAAGATGTGTTTGAAGGAGTCCTCGTCCACCATCCCGGTCGGACACTCCTGCAAAACGACAGGCGGTGTTACCGGAGTTGGGGCCGCGCTCGCAGCCCTCGCAGCAGGGCGCGCCAATCGATCAACTATTCAGAGGGAAGCTTACCTGCTTGAAGCCCCGGTAGATGAGCTGGATCTCCTTGCGGGTGAACTTGGTGGTCCTCGTCAGTTTGGCCAACTCCTCCGGCCGGTAGCGCACCGCGTGTATGTTGAGCTCGTCGAGCTCCTCCTCTGCAGACAATTAAAACACAAATAAGTAACGAGTGGGGAGAGCGCTCCACGGTCGCCATCAATGAAGGACGTCCCCGCCATAAACCCAACCCCACCCCACACGTAGTGTCTCGAATCAGCCGGCACCACAATTTCGCGAATCGTGAGGCATGCACCGCACTGCAGGAAATAACCACAACAAAAGTACACAAATTTCTGGCAAATTTTTTATCAGGAATTCAGTGTACTTTTCAAGTACAACAATTGTTATACAAAGTACAATGGAACCGGCATGAGGAGTGCTGTCCAGTCCAGGGCTCGTTATGGTTTGTACAATTCTCGTCTTACTTTCTACAATTCCTGTTGTACTTTTATTGTACAGTTTCTGTTGTACTTTTGTTGTACTATCCACACTTTTTCTTGCAGTGCGGGTTGTTCGTTTTAGAAGCGAGTTTCTGAAAGTCGATGTTTCCAGTCCGGGGAGCACTCAGGAGGACTCAGCCCGGCAGCGCTCCTGCTGCACTTCCCCAGCCTGCATCTTGGCCGAGGGCTTGCGCGAGGGCTTGGGCGAGGGCTTGGCCGAGGACGTCCCTGCCCGGCACCTTCTTTGCGAGGGACGGCGCCTAAGTACTCTAACTGGGACGGCTCCTTCAGGGCTGGCCGGGCTGGCCTGGCCTGCCGGGCTCGGGTTCCGTATTTGCCCACCCCCTGCTTCGTTGCTCCCTGGCTGGAGGCGCCGGGTTCCACGTAGCCGGGTCCGGCGAGGCAAACTGTCCTCGACTAGCGCCGCCCCGCCACCGCATGGCAGCGACACCGCCAAGACCTCGGCCAAGACGCGCGGCAGCGTCTCCGGCTGCTTCCCTTCTGGCCCTTTTGGCGCGGGCCGTACCTGCTCTAATATCCCGCGGGCCGCTCAAAGGAGCAGCGCCTTCTTCCATCTAATCTCGGACGCTTTCGGCGGGCTGGTCGGACACTCCCCCCCCCCCTCTTTGCACCCTGCGGCGCCCCTGCGTACCGACTCCCACGGAGTAACGGTATTTACAAATTACGTGCGCCCAGATTGGAGAGCAGCCAGGCAGCGCGCTGTGCTACTCTCGGGTGCAGCAGCAGTAGCAGCAGAGCCGAGGGATGAGAATTCATGATTCGTTAAGAGGATCGGGCCGCGCGGGGGTAGGGTGGGAGTAAGGCGGGGGCACAGGGTACCGTGCCGCCTCTCCCTTCGCGCAGGGTAGCAGTCAGCAGTATTCCGTCCAATGCAACCCGTGGCACACAATTATGGCGGACGGGCCAACCAGCCAGCCAACAGCCAGCCAGCCAACAGCCAGCCAGCCAACAGCCAGCCAGCCAACAGCCAGCCAGCCAACAGCCAGCCAGCCAACAGCCAGCCAACAGCCAGCCAGCCGGAGCGGCATCACCGAGGCGAAGCGAGCAAAGCACGTGCCCGGGGGTGTGTAGTGTAGAGTTGCAGGGAGTTTCGGCTGCGCTGTGCTTCGCGCTTCGCTTCGCAACGCGGGGCTGTCGGCCGTGACTGTGTGTTTCGTTGCAAAATAAGCTGCCGTCACAGAGTCGGGTTTCGCCCCGCAGCCCCCGCAGCCCCGCAGCGCGCAGCCAGGCCCCGCCATCGCACTTTTGCCTGGCCGATCAGCCGGAACAATTCCATCAGTTTTCCTGACAGAAGCACACCATTCACCCCCCGAGCGTCGCGACCAGCCTTCTCCCGACTCTGTCGTCATCATCATTTTTTCGTCGCGATGGCGTCATGATGACGTCACGATATCGGAGTGTGGGCGGACCGGCGAGTGCCCCCCCGCCAGGCCGCGTCTCCGTAACAAGATTAAGCGCGGAATGAAAAGACAACTTGTCTCGGGGAAAGAAGTGGTGCACGCCGAGCGATTGTCGCGGCCGAGCCGAAGCCAAGCCCGTCTCGCGGTCCCCGCGCGCTCGTCAACCTGGCGGAGGCCAAGTCCGCCCCCGCCCTGGCGGCCCGCTTGCCCGCGTGCCCCGCGGGGGGCAGCCATTACGGCGGGCCGGGGCACCTTGGGGACGCTTGCGGTACACGTCTCGCTACAAGCCGGCTCAGCCTGCCCCGCCCCGCCCCGCCCCGCCCCGGCTAGCCCCGGCCCCAGGGGAGCCTCATCTGTCACCTTCCCGGACCGGTCCACGGGCTGGGCGGGGCTGGCCGGTCGGCTTGGCGGTTCCCATTCGTCCCCCCCCCCACTTGCTTTGATTTATCCCCGATCGCAAACCAGCCAGGCCAGACCGAGCGGAGCGCCGCATCGCCAACGACACCGGGGAGGCAGTGTACGTCGCGACTCGAACTCGAAGTGGAGCAAAACAGTTGTCTTTGGTTTTTCCCGCGACCTGAACGGCGGCGGCTACTGAGCAAGCTCTGCTGAAGAGAAAGAAACAACTCACCACTAAAAACGAGTTAAACAGACTCCGGGCGGAAACAAGAACAAGCTGCAAGCTGGTCTCCAGACGGCGGAACCGAAACCATAATCCGGGCGGCGCGAGACCTGCAGGACCCGGCAGCCTGCAGCAGCCCTGCTGGTGGCGGTACAGTGTACACGCCGTAATGCTGCGACGATGAACTCTCTCACGCGGCGAGGACATCCCTTACATTATGCTCCCCCTTCCCGGCCCGGCCCCAAGATTTGCCGCAACTTTGCTGACCCGCCCGAGGGTGGCGCGGAAGGGGAGGGGGAGGGGGCGGCCGAGAGTCCCCAGATCCGTCTTCATAAACATCTTAACGCCTCGCCCTCGCCCCGCCCACAACTTGGATCACACATCAGTCAGGGCCACGGGAATCTTTTCGGAAGACAGTCGGATGGACGGGCAGACAGACGGACGGTGCACGAGAGAGAGAGAGAGAGAGAGAGAGAGAGAGAGAGAGAGAGAGAGAGAGAGGGAGGGAGAGAGAGAGAGAGCGGCCAGGGCGGCGGCGCGCTGGGATCCGATACAGCCGCACACGCTACAGCGACGCTAGCGACGCTAGCGCACGCCAAGGAGGCTGGAAGGCACCAGCCCGCGCCATTTCCCTCCGCTTTTTTTTTTCCCTCCACTTTTCCTTTATTTCCGTTACCCTTTATTCCCTCCTCCCGCTCCGAGGAATAATGCTATATACCACTGAGGCCCCCCAGAATTGGGCTGTCCCTCGCTGCCAAGCCAAGCCGGGCCAAGCCGGGCCAAGCCGGGCCAAGCCTTCGACAGGCGAGGCGCGAGGTCGAGGCGTCGGGCCGCGCGCCGCGAAGCGCGAAGCCCCAAAAGACCCAAAGCCTCATTTTCAGCGAGAGCTCCAAAAATTAGAAGGCGCCGGGATCCGCACCGAGGACGGGGCGCTCCGGGTTGCCGAGGCTGCGCTGGCGCAGCCACTGCACTGGCTGCTAATCCCATTTGTCCCTGATGCAGCGCAGCGGCGCGGCACTGCAGTGGTGGACGTTCAAACGTGACGGTGGAGGTAAGGCACTGAGCCCCTCGGGGCCCCTCGGCGCCGGGAGGAAGCGAGACGCACGCTAGCGCGCGGCGGGGGGACAGAGAGGGAGGGAGAGAGGTGGATGGTAAAGCGCAGCAGTCGCCGTCCATTTTCATTACGCCCTGCAATTCAAATGAACGCCATGCGGGGACTGCCCCTCCCCCTGCCCTGCGCGGCCCGGCCTAGCCCGCCCGGCCTGCCCCAGTATGTCACAAAGTCGGCCTGCCGCGGCCGTTCTGCCGTTCCGCCGTTCTCCCAAGCGCGGCGGGTCTGGCGGGCCTGGCACAGTGGGCCAGAAGACCGGTGGAGGCGGCCAAAACTCTAGACGCGTTTTGAGCTCCAGAGTCGCTAGGCAGGACTCGAACCGAACGTGTGACCCCACCAATGGATTCCTCGTTCGGAGAGCAATCCATTGGTGCGGTCACACGTTCGGTTCGAGTCCCGTTTAGGGACTCTGGAGCTCAAAACGCGTCTAGAGATCTGTCCGCCTCCACTGGTCTTCTGGCCCACTGTGCCTGGCGGGCCCAGTGGTTCGGAAAGGGGCGTGCACAAGCCACGTAACAGCGTCAGATTGTTCCCGTCACATCCAGTGGCCCGCTTCAATGGAGACAATTATTTTTCAAAAGTCATTTCTCTCTTTCTTTCCCTCCCCCTTTCCCTTTGCGTCAGGCTCGGTGGGGCCCAGCCTGAGCCAGCCGTGCCTGCCCCCATCGAGGGATGACCCTGCCCGCCCCCCTGGCTGTCCCCGGTGCCCGCCGATCCAAGTCAGATCCCAGCGAAGCCTGCCATGATATCGTCTCAACACCACTCTATCATGGGAGTGCAGAGATAATGTTTTAATCCCAAGAGCAAACATTAAACAGCAAACAATTTCTTTTCAAATTAAAGTAAGATGTTTGGTTTGGTCCTATAAAATTTCACGAGTTTTTCTCAAGCTGAGCGTCTGCATGGGGCGTTCCAACTTCCACCAGACATACTTCAGCACGCAGAATGCAGCAGCAAAACGATTTATACCTTAGGAAAGTGGAACACGAGCGTTTATCTGGGCTTAGTAGGACGCCGAGCCGTTTATACATTACGTACAAGACCCACTTATCGTAAACTCGGCTACGCATTCTCATTTTCCTTGGCAAATCCACCGCGATCACCCCCGCGGCGAGGCTAGGCGCGGCGGAGGCTAGGCGGGGTGCGCTGCCGACCAAAACGCTTCCCAATAATGTGCTACCTGTTGCGGCCGGGGCCGGGCGGGGCCACGCCGCCACGCCGGGCCGCGCCAGGCCAGCCCAAGCAAGCCTCCTTGTGGGGCTGCGCCGGGCTCCGGGCTCCGCGATCGTATAAGGGGGTTTAGTGTGGCCCTGCGTCGGCCTGCCCCGCCCCGCCCCGCCCTGCCGCCCCTGAAGGGCCTGAAGGGGCGCTGAAGGGCCGCGGCTCGCCGCAGCACGGCGTTCACGGTATACGCGGCGTAGAGGGTGAAAAGGGCCCGAAAGGAAACGCCGCCGAGGTTTGATGGATGCCGAGGGGTCGGCCATAAATGATAATGCACCGCATTAGG